AATTCCCAAGAAAAAAGAAATGATACAAATAATAAAGATTATATTAAAGTACTAAGCCTCTTTAACTGCAGGAGGACAAGCATATTGCCATAATAAATTTGCTGCAATATTTTCAAAAAAGCAGATAACATAGAAAGATAGATGTTTTCAAAATGTTTTGCTATCTACAGCATTGAGATATATAAAAATGTGCACTATGCCAATAACGGAAGCAAATAATATGGAATAAATGCGTTCTTTAATAGTAGGCTGCATATGTGGTGGATGACTGCAAGTCCGACAAAATTCCAATATTTCATGGGAATCTATCAAAATCCATATTGTCATACTTAGCCAATGTATTACACAATATATTATGGTATATACAGGCCAGATGCTCGCAATGACACTGAGCAATAAAATCCTTGCCACTACAATCACAATGATAAAAATGATTAAATAAATTTAAAATAAATTTTAAAAAATATATTATTTTGATACAAATTGTGTGATGAATAATATTTAATTTTGTATATTAATTATTGGATATACAGGGTGTCCGGTAACTAACGGACCAATGATTAAGGGCGGATTCTCTGGCCAATTTGGAGACGATTTTTCCTTAGCAAAAATGTTGAGAAGTCAATAATTTTAGAGTTATAAGCGATTGAAAAAAATGGGTTTTTTGAAAACTAAACGTTTTGGAGTTAAACGTCTAACATAATTACATTCTTCAGTTAATTTCAGATAGAGTTTACTATAATAAAATTTTAATTTGAGGCTTAGTTATAAAGATACATAATGACAAATATTGGAAAGTTGTAAAAAATGATGACCTTTTTTGACATTTTCGCTGAGGAAAAATCGTTCCCAAATTGACCAAAGAATCCATTTGTAATCGTTGGTCCGTTAGTTACCGGACACCCTGTATATGTACCTAAAATAAGAAAATGCCAGAAAAATTGAATTTGCTTATTTATTTAAAGATGCTTATCATATACAAAAATGAATGATATAATCTCTAAAAACTCACCTTTAAAAAAAGGTAAAAAAAGGCGACCAGTTAAGGGCACGCCATTAACAAAAATTATCCATTGCAAACCCATGTACAATAGAATTGTATGAAAAATTATCGATTATAAACCCATGTACAATCGTAACAAAAGTAATGAAATAAAAAAAAAATTGCGCCAAGTGAAAGTAGAAACTTGTACCAGTGGAAAAAAAAGTTGCAGACATATATAGAGTCGTATAATGAATCAATAAAAATTTAAATTTGCAAATGTAGAATTGTACCATAAAAAAACTTATCTTTTAAAAAAAAAGATAAACAAGATGCCAAGTCCATGCGCCATGTGAAAAAGTGTTAAACAAAAAAGTATTTTTAAGTAAAAAAATCTATCAATTGACAAAAATTTATGTTCTAAAATTAATATCTCTACAAAAAGTAATGTCCAATTATTGCGCGAATAAATAAACATTTTTATAAAAAATTAAAATTTAAAAACTTATGCAAATTTAAAATTAATATAAAATAAAAAGAAATAAAAAAATTTTAGTTAAAAAAACTGGGCGCGCTGCTAAATAATATTCTAATGATATTAAAATTAAATTGTTACTTTTAAACTCATTGCAGCGCGCCCAGTTTTTTTAACTAAAATTTTTTTATTTCTTTTTATTTTATATTAATTTTAAATTTGCATAAGTTTTTAAATTTTAATTTTTTATAAAAATGTTTATTTATTCGCGCAATAATTGGACATTACTTTTTGTAGAGATATTAATTTTAGAACATAAATTTTTGTCAATTGATAGATTTTTTTACTTAAAAATACTTTTTTGTTTAACACTTTTTCACATGGCGCATGGACTTGGCATCTTGTTTATCTTTTTTTTTAAAAGATAAGTTTTTTTATGGTACAATTCTACATTTGCAAATTTAAATTTTTATTGATTCATTATACGACTCTATATATGTCTGCAACTTTTTTTTCCACTGGTACAAGTTTCTACTTTCACTTGGCGCAATTTTTTTTTTATTTCATTACTTTTGTTACGATTGTACATGGGTTTATAATCGATAATTTTTCATACAATTCTATTGTACATGGGTTTGCAATGGATAATTTTTGTTAATGGCGTGCCCTTAACTGGTCGCCTTTTTTTACCTTTTTTTAAAGGTGAGTTTTTAGAGATTTTGATTTAGGACACGGAGAAGTGATCGACTTATTTCGGTAAAATTCGTGACCTGCGAGACCGCCCGTGGGGACTACTTATATATATATATATATATATATATATATATATATATATATACATATAATATACTAATTATATACTATTAAACTTATATATATATAAATGATTAAACTATTAAAATATTAAACTATAAAATTATTAAACTTTACACTATTTATAATTTTTGCTTTTTGTTACTTAATTTATATATTTTCTTATTATATTATAATTATTTATCTCAATATATCTTTTTTAATATTCCGTAATTTTATATGTTCGAGTTTGAACTAAGCATGCACTAATTTTTTGGAAATTTATAATTGATTTGTTTACAAACAATATTTGTTAATTTATCGAATATATTAAATTCTTGATTTAAAAAATTACCATGTGAAATGTGGAGTATAAAAAAGAAGATAAAGTAATAACATTTCCTTTGCTTGCAGAAGAAAGAAGAGTATTTGCACTGTAAATTTCGAGCAGAATTTCTTCTAACATATTTGTACTTATATACGCACTTTTCTGCTAATTACAAATCTATTATCAAATTAGAAAGAATTATTATCACAGAAATGAAAATACGAGCGTTAATAAAATATAAGTTTAGTAAACTGCGTCACTTGTCTGTAAGTAAAATGTTCCTTTGTTCTAGAATTTCTCATTTTTTATCCAAATGTGTCGAATAATAATAAAATAAAATTATACATTTTTTTTATTTGTTATTACTTTATTAAGTGAGTTATTACTTAAGTATAATAGCAAATAAAAAAATTTAATATAAATACATATAATTCTATAATATAAATTATATATATAAATTATATTTTGCAAATATAGTAATGATTATAAAGCAATAACAAATAAAAAAATATAAATATACATACATATATTTCAAAATATATGTAATATTTACATATATTTCTAAATATATATTTACATACATATTTTTTCATGTGAAAATGTTAAAACCGATTATTGCATTGTGAAATTAATAGAATTATGTTATAAAAAAATTTATTAGGAAATTATATTTTTGCAACCTGAAGATTGGAGAGCACAAAAATAAAAAAGCATATCATGTTTCGAATAAATGTGAAATTGGCCGTTCAAACCCTTAAGAAAAAAGTCAGTGTAGTTTTAAATTTTGCGAGCACTATATACGTTTCTGAGCAATTTTAGGTAAAAAGCAATCCGTATAGCCAATAAATAGATTTATAGTTTATCTAACATCACATTTTGACGATAAAACAGGAAAAAAACAACAGACTTCTCAAAGGCGTTCAGAATCTCCGTAAGCCACAATTATATTTTGATAGTAAAACGCCTGTAACATATGCTACACCGCCAGACAAGACTGCGCGCGAAAGCACTCGCGGAAAACCGTCCGTAAAGTCGTGCACTCGTTCGTGCTTTCGCCGCTACGCGGCGTCTTTTCTCGCAGTTAGAATTCCGCTGAGTGAGGATATAAGGCCACGCGCTGCACTGCCGAAACATATTTGTGAATATATACGTATACATATATACGACCAATGAGTGCCATTAAATTATTATTGGACACTCTGTTAATAGCGCAGAATTTTATTGTAAGATTTACTCGGGAGACATTTTTGGTCAGCAAATATGTCGGAAAACAACTGTGACTTTTCGAAATAAAGATTTTAGCTAACTCTTTTTAAATTTAAACTCTCATTTTTTGAAATAAAGGACGGTATTCCATATTCCGTTCTTATATTTAAGACTGTCTTAAGCACAAAGTCTTCTAAGATAATGCCTTTCTCTTCTTAAGCATGTCTTCAAAACTAGTCAGATTTATAATCAAATCTTGATGGCCTTATTTGAATCAAATAAGATCATGGGGTCGATTCTGTATCTAAAATTTAATGAAAATACTAAAAGTGAGCAGTTCGAGCGATTCAGTAACTTTCATCCTAGTGGAAATGCGTGCCATCTCACGGGAGTTTGTTCGGCAAGAAATTTCTTGTCGAATGGTGAAATCCGAGAGAGAGAGAGAAACTATAGACAGCGTCGTGACGCGTGTGGAGACCACAGATTCTATTTAAGGTTAAGTGTCGTACAAATAATAAAGCCCGAAAAAGTAACAAAAATGGAAATATTCATGGCTGTTTTAATACTTGAGGAAGAGGATGATGAAGAGGCTTTGAAACGCAATCAGATAATGAGGGTTACACGAATGTTACTCAGAGATACATTAGATCCTTTTTCAGTGTCTGATAGCCAATTTCGCAAGCTGTACAGGTAAATTTTCATATTTAAAGTTCTTTAGTAGTGACAAAGCTTTATATTGCAGCGCGTGATTACATGCTTTTTATGTTTTAGACCAGAGCTGTCCACATTTTGCTCTTTTCGGCCGATTTCCGAGATTCACCGCCCAGCGACCCCCACTCGCGCTCGAGGCCTTAGCAACGCGTTGACCGATAGCCGTAACTAAGATGCACGGCGCTCCGTCTCAGGGACGATGCATCTGTAACGCGATGCCGTTCCGTACCCTTTCTTTAACTTTAAATTTAACTAAATATTTTCAATATTTTAAAATCGCGATTTTTTAATTATTATTTTTATTATTAATTATTTATTATATTTTATTTATATATGTTTATTTTTAGATTATATTTATATTTATAATAATTGTGGCAATAGATTTCCACGTCACCCATGAGGTACTATTGTTAACGCGTTTTTTTTTATAGTGGTTTCCCCTGTAGGCCTAGTCCACTTAAAAAGAAGAATTAAGAAATGAGCAAAAACGATAGAAAAATCAAAAATTAAAATTTTGTGCGACTACGCCGTTCGTACGATTCGATAACAGATGGAACATCTATTTCAATATTTGAAGTACTTATTCGCATCAACGAAGATAATGATGCATTCAAACAAGAGCGTCTGTCGGTTTTTATATATTTCATTTTTGAAAAAGAGCATTCACATAAGTAAGTCGAGCCAAACATAGAAAAAAATCGAAGACCGAAATTTCTAAGCCTCGGATAAGTCGCTACGTCTAAAATTTTAAAAACTTCTATTCCTTTTTCCGGTCGCGTTTTAAGGGAAAGTTCAGATTGTAAATCACAAAGTTCCTGTTGCAATTCTATATTTTGCTCTTCGATTTGCGCAGTAAAAGGATTCTCGAGAAGAATAAGATCATTTCTCAACATTTCAAAATCACTAAACCGTGTATTAAATTGACTAATAAGTGAATCGATTAACTGGAGATGCTTCTGAAAATTGCAACTTTTGCCATGCTCTTCGAAAAGAACTTGACAAGATGGGAAAAAATGTAAATTATCTGTCACTATATGATTTTTAAATAATAATAACTGTCTACGGAAAGAATCAATGGCGCTAACTAATTGAGAAATAACTTGATTCGGTCTTTGAAGCTTCAAATTTAAAATATTTAAATGGTTAGTCAAATCAGTAATAAAAGCGAGCTCACTGAGAAATTCTAAATCTTCTAGAAAAAATTTATATTCGTCGCATTTTGCAACAGATATTTCTTGCAAGAAAAGGAAGATTTCTTTTCTTATTGCAAAAAATTTCTCTAAACATTTTCCGGCACTAAGCCAGCGGACCTCGCAATATAAAGGGAGATCGGTATAAGTTGCGTTATGCTCTTCGAGAAAGTGTTGAAACTTGCGATGGGAAAGAAATTTATGACCACCTTTAATAAAATTAACAATTTGCGTTACCGTTTGCATAGCACTACTAAGTTTAACAGTTTTCCCGCATAACGCTTCTTGATGAATAATACAATGAATCATCGGAAATTTTAAATCTCGCTGTCTGATCTGACCGAGGAATCCATTTTTTGAACCTGTCATCGCTTTGGCACCATCTGTTATTATAGACGAACATTTTGTAAAATCTAAATTAAATTTATTGAGAGTTTTTTCTACAGCTCTGAAGATATCTATACCCATAGTTGTATCATGCAAAGCAACAAAGTCTAAAAGCTCCTCGACACATGAGAAATCGTTTTGGACGATTCGAATAAAAATACTCAACTGGCTCACGTGTCGATTATCGGTGCTTTCATCAAGACACAATGAGAAGTACGAACAAGTTGCTAACAAAGATTTTAATCTATCTTCAATAGATAATGCAATATTAGTAATTCTACGTCCTACTGTTTGATGGCTAAGCGGAATACTCGTAACTTCGTCAACTGTCAATTTACCGTCAAAGGATTTTACTGTCTCAACGAGACAGTTTTTTATAAATTCACCATCACTAAACGATTTGGAATGCTTCGCGATGAGGAACGAAATAGCGTATGATGCAGCCAAAGCTTTTGCATTATTGTTACCGGCGTTAGAAATTAATAAATCAGAAGAATTATCTGCCTGATAAACTAATTTTAAACCTTCAAGAATTTTTAATTTTTCCTCAGACGTATAACTAGAATATTGTCCGGAATGTTTGACTCTATAATGTCTTTTGAGATTGTATCTTTTTACGACAGACGGCTCGTAACCACAGAGAACACAAGTTGTTCGATTGCGAACAAAAACGAAGAAAATATCTTCCCATATTCTATCATACCTCTGTTCGTAGTTCTGCTTACTTCCATCAGCCATCCTTCAAATAATCGATGAAATCTTGAAATTCTGAGCACTCTCTCGCAGGAAGACGTTACGCTGAGACACGCTTTGGAGTAAAGAATCGGTTAAGACAAATAAATAACGGTTAAACAATTGCGTATAATCTGGCCGCGCAGACTTTGCGTGGGATCCGTCTTCCTGCGAGAGAGTGCTCAGAATTTCAAGATTTCATCGATTATTTGAAGGATGGCTGATGGAAGTAAGCAGAACTACGAACAGAGGTATGATAGAATATGGGAAGATATTTTCTTCGTTTTTGTTCGCAATCGAACAACTTGTGTTCTCTGTGGTTACGAGCCGTCTGTCGTAAAAAGATACAATCTCAAAAGACATTATAGAGTCAAACATTCCGGACAATATTCTAGTTATACGTCTGAGGAAAAATTAAAAATTCTTGAAGGTTTAAAATTAGTTTATCAGGCAGATAATTCTTCTGATTTATTAATTTCTAACGCCGGTAACAATAATGCAAAAGCTTTGGCTGCATCATACGCTATTTCGTTCCTCATCGCGAAGCATTCCAAATCGTTTAGTGATGGTGAATTTATAAAAAACTGTCTCGTTGAGACAGTAAAATCCTTTGACGGTAAATTGACAGTTGACGAAGTTACGAGTATTCCGCTTAGCCATCAAACAGTAGGACGTAGAATTACTAATATTGCATTATCTATTGAAGATAGATTAAAATCTTTGTTAGCAACTTGTTCGTACTTCTCATTGTGTCTTGATGAAAGCACCGATAATCGACACGTGAGCCAGTTGAGTATTTTTATTCGAATCGTCCAAAACGATTTCTCATGTGTCGAGGAGCTTTTAGACTTTGTTGCTTTGCATGATACAACTATGGGTATAGATATCTTCAGAGCTGTAGAAAAAACTCTCAATAAATTTAATTTAGATTTTACAAAATGTTCGTCTATAATAACAGATGGTACCAAAGCGATGACAGGTTCAAAAAATGGATTCCTCGGTCAGATCAGACAGCGAGATTTAAAATTTCCGATGATTCATTGTATTATTCATCAAGAAGCGTTATGCGGGAAAACTGTTAAACTTAGTAGTGCTATGCAAACGGTAACGCAAATTGTTAATTTTATTAAAGGTGGTCATAAATTTCTTTCCCATCGCAAGTTTCAACACTTTCTCGAAGAGCATAACGCAACTTATACCGATCTCCCTTTATATTGCGAGGTCCGCTGGCTTAGTGCCGGAAAATGTTTAGAGAAATTTTTTGCAATAAGAAAAGAAATCTTCCTTTTCTTGCAAGAAATATCTGTTGCAAAATGCGACGAATATAAATTTTTTCTAGAAGATTTAGAATTTCTCAGTGAGCTCGCTTTTATTACTGATTTGACTAACCATTTAAATATTTTAAATTTGAAGCTTCAAAGACCGAATCAAGTTATTTCTCAATTAGTTAGCGCCATTGATTCTTTCCGTAGACAGTTATTATTATTTAAAAATCATATAGTGACAGATAATTTACATTTTTTCCCATCTTGTCAAGTTCTTTTCGAAGAGCATGGCAAAAGTTGCAATTTTCAGAAGCATCTCCAGTTAATCGATTCACTTATTAGTCAATTTAATACACGGTTTAGTGATTTTGAAATGTTGAGAAATGATCTTATTCTTCTCGAGAATCCTTTTACTGCGCAAATCGAAGAGCAAAATATAGAATTGCAACAGGAACTTTGTGATTTACAATCTGAACTTTCCCTTAAAACGCGACCGGAAAAAGGAATAGAAGTTTTTAAAATTTTAGACGTAGCGACTTATCCGAGGCTTAGAAATTTCGGTCTTCGATTTTTTTCTATGTTTGGCTCGACTTACTTATGTGAATGCTCTTTTTCAAAAATGAAATATATAAAAACCGACAGACGCTCTTGTTTGAAGGATGCATCATTATCTTCGTTGATGCGAATAAGTACTTCAAATATTGAAATAGATGTTCCATCTGTTATCGAATCGTACGAACGGCGTAGTCGCACAAAATTTTAATTTTTGATTTTTCTATCGTTTTTGCTCATTTCTTAATTCTTCTTTTTAAGTGGACTAGGCCTACAGGGGAAACCACTATAAAAAAAAACGCGTTAACAATAGTACCTCATGGGTGACGTGGAAATCTATTGCCACAATTATTATAAATATAAATATAATCTAAAAATAAACATATATAAATAAAATATAATAAATAATTAATAATAAAAATAATAATTAAAAAATCGCGATTTTAAAATATTGAAAATATTTAGTTAAATTTAAAGTTAAAGAAAGGGTACGGAACGGCATCGCGTTACAGATGCATCGTCCCTGAGACGGAGCGCCGTGCATCTTAGTTACGGCTATCGGTCAACGCGTTGCTAAGGCCTCGAGCGCGAGTGGGGGTCGCTGGGCGGTGAATCTCGGAAATCGGCCGAAAAGAGCAAAATGTGGACAGCTCTGTTTTAGACTGACAAAAGATGCAACTCGTATGCTTATTGCACAATTGGTGGCATTCATGCCACAAATATCACGGAAAACTGCAATATCTCATGAATTACAGGTACAATGTATTTTGAATTTTCTATTTGTGTAAAGCTATTAAATTCCTAATAATTTTTTTAATCTTTCTGATTCAATTCTTGTTATTTTATTTAGATACTAGCATCATTAAACTTCTTTGCATCAGGATCCTATCAGAGAAGAACAGGCCAAGATTTCTTTACGTGTATGTCTCAAACGTCATTAAGCCGTTCCCTTCATGCGACTGTCAATGCATTGAATTGTATTATTGACGATTGGATTTGTTTTCCAGTAACCGCTGACAGAATTCAAAGCATCAAACAAAGGTAATAATTAATAATTATATGATTTATGTATGTACGTAGAATGCAGATCGAATAAATATAAATTTCTAGTCAGTTTTTATATTATAATTTTATTATTTATTTTATATAACATTCAATATAAGTTTTAATCAGTAGATTATGAAGGATAAAAATATTTTAGTATTCTAATATTTATTTTTCAGATTTTTCAGAAACGGCGGTTTTCCAGGAGTTATTGGAGCAATTGATGGAACACACGTTGCTATTTTTCCACCAGAAATTGAAAGGGAATACCTATTTATCAATCGAAAGTTATATCATTCATTAAATGTATTGGTTGTAAGTATATAAATATACTGTGTAATGCTAGAATATGTATCACAATAAATAAATAATAATAATAATATTAATAATAATAATACATATATATACTAATGATAATAATAATAAACTACTAAATAATGTAATTTCAGATTTGTGATTCCAAGTGCGAAATTCTTGCCGTAAATAGTGCCCATGGTGGCCGAACACACGATGCCCGAGTGCTCCGATCATCGAGAGTATTTGCTCATTTAGAGCAAAGGCACAGAGAAGGTGAAATAAATTCCTGGCTTATAGGTAAATAATTATATTGTAATAATGTAGGCTTTCCAACAATGACACAGAGCGACACAGTGTATCGTTCTATTATCTTTCAATACTAGTGAACAGCAAAGATAGAACGATACACTTGTCGCTCTGTGTCGTTGCTGGAAAGCCTACAAAATCCATAATAAGAATTATATTCAATTATATTCAAGCTTCAGTGAACTTCTCTTATAGTACTTATAATTTTCTTTAATTATGCATCTATCAAACAAAAATATTAGCGTTGGTTAAAGACTAACATTGTACGTATTTTAGGTGATTCTGCATATCCTCTTCTACCTTTTTTACTGACGCCACAATTAAATCAAGTAGAAGGAACTCCAGGCGCAAGGTATACAGATCATCATGTCCGGACTCGTGTGACTATAGAGCGATGTTTCGGCATTCTAAAAGGTCGCTGGCGTTGCTTACGGAAAGAACGAGCTTTACATTATTCTCCACAATTTGCTGGTAATTTCACTTTTTAATTCTATTTATTGTTTTATAATTTTCTTTATAACTTTTTTTCGTATTTTTAACTGCTTTTGCAACAGAATCAAAATGATCTACATTAAAATAATCTGTGGCTATGATTGCTCAAACTTGAAATTTCATTATAATAGTTCTAATGAAATTTAAAATTTGAATAATTATAGCGTAGAGATCATTTTAATCTGAATCATTTTGATCTGTCGCGAAAGTAGCCATGATTAAGTTTTATTTTGCTTTTACGTTATTTTATATGTTAGTTTAAGGTCACTATTTTATAATTTTACTATTTTTTGCAATCTGTATATATTGGTGAAATATTTTGTTATATAGCTCTCGTTGTTAATGCTTGCTGCATTCTACACAATATGGCAATTAAATGGAGAATTCCAAACGATGAAATATATCTGGATGAAATGGATATTGAACCACCGATACCATGTAATATTGCCGAAGAAACTGGAGAACAAACCCAAACTCGAGTGATTCAATGGTATTTTACTAATTAATTAATCCTTAATTCGATGTTATATTACTAGTATTTTTTTAGATTTTTTGTAATTTTATCAGTAATTTTAAGGTGCTTTTGAAACATTTTTTAAACAAATCTATTATTGAATTGTCCAACAAATCTGTACAATATTTTACGTAGAAATTAAGATGTATATTGAACGTATTGTATATTATTTTAATAGTGGGAATGAGAAAGTATATTATCTTATTTGTAAACAACTGTATGATAAATATATATGTTTATTTACATAAAAAATAGTGTACTTTATTTGTAAATTTTAATATATCTAAACAGGTTACACATCAATCAAGATTTTGGAAATTAAATTTGCAAAAATTAAATAATTAATTTTAGAATAACTAATTTTGTAATTAATAAGTAATTTTATAATTAGTAGTAAAATTATTTTCTAAACCATCTACATAATGGAGAGTGGCAAAGCAATTACTAATGATATTACAAAAAAATAATATAATTCTACAACTTAAAATAACATGTAAAATAAAAACTAATTAACAAAAAAATTGCACCAATTCTTTTAATATTTATGACAGACATGAAACTCTCCCGTGCAAACTTCCCATCAATGTACTTTGTTTTTCTTATTTTATTCCAAATATTGCGGAGCAACGGATCGAATTATATTCGTTAATTCATCTACCTTTTCAATCAACGATGTTAGAAGTTCGTTGCGTTCTTGGTAAGTTTCTTTTTTTAATTGTAACTCTTCTCTTGCTACAGTCAATTTTTCCTCTTTCAATTGTAATGATCGCTCCTGAATACTGCAATAATCCACGGTGTGCTGTTCAAATAATTGTTTAACATTCTGCTTTGTTTTCTTGTTACCGGTATCTAAAAATTAAATATAATTAATATCAATTTTTCTCAATAATAGACATCGAAAGATAAAATAACATAAAATAAAATAGTGTTAATATATCACACAAGAGAAGAGTCGTCAATAGTTATTAATTTTTGTTACCTCTGTCATCAGAATATTTCTTGTTTTTTGTTGACATTGTGCTGGAGTTGTGACAATGTACTTGTTTTGGAATCTGTACATTTTCTGTAGAAGCAAGTACATTGGAGGATATCTGAAACAAAACAAAATACCTTCATATACTTTGCAAGAAATACAATAGATACAGCGTAAAGAAAAAAAACATTATATATGTTATCATTGCACTTACATTTATTGGAAGATTCTCTGTATCATCATTTATTATGTCATTGTCAAAGAGATTTTCCTGAAATTTGTAAGATAAAATTAATATTAAAACTCTATAGTATATAATAATAATTTTAAAATTCTACAGTAAAATAATATTACTTCAGCATTGAGATGCAAGAAGGAAGTCGTATCTTGAGGTCTTTGAAAGCATGAAGTTTTTTGGATCTGTGAACTCTGCGAGGTCAAGAACTCTTTGGTGGTTTGCCAGTTCTGTTTAATTTTTTTGTTACCCATATCTAAAAGAAATTCAATATTATAATTAATATCAGTTTTCTTCAATAATAGATGTCAAAAGATTAAATAAAATGAAATAGTGATGATATATCACATAAGAAAGGAGTGGTCATTAGTAATTAATTTTCATTACCTCTGTCATCAGAATATCTCTTGTTTTTTGTTGATATTGTACTGGAGTTCTGGCAATGTACTTGTTTTGGAATCTGTACATTTCCTATAGAAGCGAGTACATTAGAAGATATCTGAAACAGAATAGAATACTTTTATATACTACTTTGCAAGAAATAGATACATTGTGTGAACAAAAGAAACATCATATATTATGATTGCACTTACATTTATTGGAAGATTCTCTGTATCATTGACATTTATTACATCACAATCGAAGAGATTTTCCTGAAATTTGTAAGATAAAATTAATATTAAAACTATAGTATATAATAATAATTTTAAAATTCTACAATAAAATAACATTACTTCAGCATTGAGATGCAAGGAGGAAGTCATATCTTGAGATCTTTGGAAGCATGAAGTTTTCTTGATCTGTGAATTCTGCGAAGTTGAGAATTCTTTGGTTTGCCAGATAGGAGAATCCTGCAGATTCTGTGACGTCAACATTTTTTTAGCGGTCAAGTAAGGAGAAGTAAAGTTATTATCGCCAATAGCTCCTCCTTCAGGAATATTAGACATTCCACTGGCTTCAGGTGTTAGAAATTCTAATAAATCGTCTTCGGAGGGGCTAGTGTCTAAAGTCTTTGGTGGTCCTCCTCCAGTGCCTGCTGAGTAACTTTTATATGTGGCTACTCGTTTTAACAAATTCGATTTCCAATCACGCCATGTCTGTAACAAAAAAAGAATAATCTTGCCATTAGTATTATGTAAAATAAGATAGTATTATGTAAAATAGTAACTAACAAGTAAATTATTTATTTAACGTATATATATTGTATATTTACCTTTGCCCATTCTTTTGGCAACTTTTGAGGACCGCAGCCTGCACAATTGAGATCTGATGTTATTTCCTCCCATAACTCGTCCTATAAAAAAATATGCACATATTTACTTGTAATTTTTATTTACAATTTATTACTTCTATTATTTATCGTTTTTAAAAATAATATTTATATCATAATAAAATAATTTATAAAATCATTTACTATTCTTTTTTTATTTTCGCGGTTATAACGTAATCTGCCTCTTCCAAAATCGGGATGAGATCGCATAAAGTTTATAAGTATTTGTTTCTGCTTCTCCGTCACATTCATTTTTGTTAAAAAAAGTTTTTGCAATAATGGCGTGATACTTTTTATTTGAGGTATTCACAGAGTTCTCTCCATCGATAGTTCTCTCCCACAATTATTTACATTATCACATTAGCAAATCTAGTGATTTCGTATTTTCACTTTGACGTTACAGAATCGCACGAATAAACTCACGTGAGATGAAAGTGCGAAAAACGAACGATCTCACTTAAATTACAGAATCGATCTACATGTTTATTAGAAAGAAAGGTTATGTTTTCAAGTCAGTCGTACATGACTTTAAGATAAGCTTATTATTAAATATTATGGAATTAATGGAAGAAATTGATGATATTGAAAATATTGATTGATCGTGATTTTCAAGTAGAGAACGTGTACGAAAACGATACATTCGTGATGGACTTAAAACCCTTTTATAATAATTTACAATTAAAAGACGCTATAGATTAATAAGGATTCCTCCTATTTGGAATATTAACAAAAATTAAAGAAGAAGAATTAGCAAAAATTAACAATCGTGGTCTGCCGGTTCCACCAGTACAATACAAATTGTTAAAATGCTTAAGATACTACGCAACACGCACGCACGCACGCACGCACGCACGCACACAGAGAGAGAGAAGTGTGTCTAAAAATAAATATAAATATATTAATAAAATTTATCCTTATTATTTTTTAATATTGCATTTACTGGATTATTTTCTTTTTCAGCATCATTAGTCTCATCACTGCTTGAGTCTGTAACATTCAATTGTCATTGTCATTAATTCTAAATTCTTATTTATAAACACATATGTTAATAGAAAATATCAATAAAATTAGTTATTTTATCATTTGTATGAAGTGTGATAATAGAATCATTATTAACTTCTTGGAAATCATCATCAATAAAGTCTATGCCCTCCACATTTTCAATTAATTCTTCAGGAATATAATCATTAATATTCTTTTTTGTCGTTCTGAAAAATATTTATCGTTACTATTTTTTCAATTTTTATTATAAATAAATAAAATAAAGATGAAATTACCTTCTAGTATTTTATCTGATAAATTTGATGAAAATAATGTTGGTGCAATTGTCATTAAATTGGGTGCTATTGCGGCAATGTCTGGGTCAATCTCGCAGATTTAGGTTCAGGTCCACCACCTGTTGATAAACGTGCATGTTTTTCCTGCGTAAGGACATCTCTCTGTACTGATTTTAAATTACTCCATAATTTTCTAAATTGAACGCTTCTCTGTAATAATTTATTACACTTTAAAATGTTAAAAATTAAATTACTTTGAATATAAAAAGTATTTAAAATCTAGCTTAAAAATGAAGCTATCTACCGCAAATATCATATTAGATTTTCTTCAGATATAATTAACGTTTTTATTTTAAGCATTTAATATACCTAATTAGAAAAAATTTATAGATTTCTTACCTTGTAACAATAGATATATGCATCGCAAGTTTGATTCCATGCTTCTTCTTTGTCTTTCAAAGTTGTAGCATCACTTTTTTTCAAGGAGAATATTTTGTTAAAATTTTAAGAAAGAATTCTCTTCGGGATCTATATAATGTTTTTTGCTTGACATTCTTTTACAGAAAAGTTTCTAACTTTCTAACAACTTTTCTAAAAACTTTCTAACAATACTTTAGAGTCTGCAATAATTTGATACATGAATAAATGGTATAGACATACAACTCGTTAAATTTTTCTATATTTAAACACATATTTCATTGGCTGATACATCAGAAAAATTCCGAAGATTACTGAAAGTAAATCAGATCATCTTAAGCACTAACTTCAGTAATAAAATCTTAAATAAAAGGAAGTGCTTATTTCTTTATGAAGATCGTCTCATTTTAATTAAAACTATGAATACATGAAGTCTCAAGTCATACTTATACAAACAAGACGATCTTAATCAAGAAAATCTTAAGACGATGTTTAAGCTTGGACTTATGAATACCGTCCAAAGTCAACTCTCTAAAATTTGTCTATTTTTTTGGATATTTTTTTTATTTTTTTGATTATTTTAAAATGTTGCAACGTCTTTTCCTGTGCCGAAACGCCAAGTTCGGACAGGGGAGCGTTCAATTTAAAGATTCTCCAAGTTTAACTAATAAAACGGTAAAAATCGGTATCAGAAGAGTTAATTCTTCGCCCTTAGGGGCGTTCATTAACTCACGGTAAAGTTGGGCGCCAGGCGCATGTGAACGCGCCACGATACTACTGTGAACGGTACTTAACGTCACTTCTCCAAAAGTCATACAGAGTCGCGGGTCTGTAGGAGTGATGGGTCTAGGGTTGAGAGAGAGGTATAGAGAGACATACACGTGGTGTTATAATTTGACAGATATATATATTTGACACTTAGGATTTACAATTTAACATCGGATACATACAATTGGATAATATAATTATGTAACCAACAGTAATATATAAACTAGCGGTAGGGA